ATTGTCTTGCTCGGAGCGCACGAGCCAACACAAATTGGCGAGATTAGAGAGAAAGAGAGAGATAGAGACAGGAGAGAGAGAGAGAGAAGGAGAGAGAGAGAGAGCGAGAGAGAGAAAGAGAAGAGAAAGAGAAAGTAAAGAGAAGAAAGAGAGAGAGAGACAAGAGAGAGAGAGAGAGAGAGAGAGAGAGATGAGAGAGAGAGAGAGAGAAGAGAAAGAGAAAGAGAAAGAAGAGAAGAAAGAGAGAGAGAGAGCAGAGAGGAGAGAGAGAGAGAAGAGAGAGAGAGAGACAGAGAGCGAGAGGAGAGAGAGAGAGAGATGAGAGGAGAGAGAGAGAGAGAGAGAGTAGAGAGAGAGAGAGAGAGAGACAGCGAGAAAGAGAGAAATAGAGACATAGAGAGAGCGAGAGAGAAAGAGAGCGGGAGAGAGAGAGATAGAGACAGCGAGAGAGAGAGAGCGAGGGATAGAGACATAAAGAGAGCGAGAGAGGGAGCGAGAAAAACGGTGTCGCGTAGTAAAAAAATCGGTCACCCTATTGTTACTTAGTGTTATGCTTTTCATTCAATGCTCGCATTAATCCATCACCCTTGATACAGACACGGTTTCAGCATGCGCCGACGCACGCTTACCACGGTTTTCTATACAAGCCATAAAAACGCAACAGCGGCATATGTTTTTCCAACAGAAAAAGATGCTATCATTAACTGTTCAGGAATATATTTTGTGTTGATATACCGAATGCCTATGCCTATCGCAAACTCCCCCTTGAAAACTTCGTATTTTTTGCACTTTGTAAGCGTTCGACTGGCCAGGTCATTTAAAACGCTTAAAAATGGTGCCATGCATTCCATCTTAATTCCGCACCGTTCCGTTTCACTTCGCGATCATTCCGTTTCATTCCACGATCCGATCCCGCTTCCGGTCCGTAGTCGGGACTCACCTTTCGGTGTGGGCCACGTGTGCCGGGCCGGGCCGCGGCGGCGGCGCCGCGGGGGCCGGCGGCGGCCCCGCCGCGCCGCGGGCGGCGGGGCGGCGGGGCGGGCCGCGCGCGGCCGCGGCGCCCCGGGGCGCCGGCCGCGGGCGGCCGCGGCGGGGCCGGCCGGGGGGGCGGGGGGGGGGGGGGGGGGGCGGCGGGGCGGCGGGGGGGGGGCCGGCGACGCGCGGGCCCGCGCGCGCGCGGGCGCGCCGCTCCAGCTGCGTTCTTGTACAGAGATCTTTTTAGCAGCCAGCCAGGGCCAGGCATGCCCTCTACCCTATACAGCAGGTTGGAATCCCCGCATGCATTGCTCGTACCCTGAAAGCACAACAACAACAGTACCAGGACGACGACAACAAAAAGAGGAAAAGGACAAAGAAAAGAGGAAAGTGAGGGGAAAAGAGTTCGGTTACCGTGGCAACACTAGCAAGGCAGCCGATTACCATGCAACACCCGAGCAACGGGAAGGTTTACCACGACGACACAGAAGCCTGACTACGCGCACGACCAGGTGCTTCACAGCTCACAGCTCCACGCATCCAGCGCGTCCCCGCCAGTCTACATGATGTCCACCCGATCCTCCCCCCCCACCCCACACACCACCGAACCTGACACTTTCATCACAGAGATACACCGTGGATGCAACACGCAGTGACCACTCTCCCCCGCCCCAATGACAGAGAGGACATGATACAAGATTGCGTGCTCAGCTTTGTGTTTGAACCTTAACGGCGTTTACACGAGAGTCATACTAAAGTTTCTTTTTTTTTTATCCCTATGTAGCTTTTTCTTCCCTAAGTATATCTTCTTTATCCCTAGATAGCTTTTTTGGCTCTTGCGTACTTTCAAATGAATTGCATTATGCGCTTGTGATAATGCAAAACCCGAGGGGCGTTTCGTTCGCTAGTATGACAGGGAAACATAGAAAGCTAAGACAACATCTATCGCTGTATCATCTGCTACCGGTGCTGGGTCCGTTGTCGTGTGTGGCGTCTGTGTGTGCGCTGCGGTGTTCCGCGTGCCTGTGTTGCGTGCGTGCGCGGAGCCGACGGTGTGTGTGTGTCTCGCCGCGCGTGCGTGTGTGTGTGTAGTGTGTGTGTGTGTGCGCGCGCGGCGCGTGTGTGTGTGTGTGTTGTGATGTCGTGTGTGTGGTGTGTGTGTTTGTGTGTGTGGTGTGTGGCCGCGCGTGCTGTGTTCGTGTGGTGTGTGTATTCCCTGATTCCCCTGGAGTCATCCACCTCTTCAGACACGCAGGCCGTATCGTACACGAGTCTCGCCATTAGCTGTTCACTTGTCGTTTCGCAACACGAGTGCCGCCCGACGAGCAGACGGCAATTAATCAGGTCCGCGTGTGACGTCATCTCGTTAGCCGCTCCTTCTTAGTTAGTTTTCCGAGTTACTCTTCATCTTGATGCGGGTGACAGCCCCTCTCTCCCTCTCGCTCTCTCTCTCACATTGCATCGTCTTGTAGCTGTGGGACTGGGACATGTGGATGCGGCATTCGGACGTGAGGCGAGGCAGGGAGTGCGTCATCCCGGACGTCTCTCGCACATATCACTTTGGTGCTTCAGGAATCAACATGAACAGCTACTTCCAGGTACGCCTAGACTGCCCCCACGCCGCCCGTCATGGCCGAGCCCACAGTGGTGGAGGTGATTCGCGACGACGTGCGTTGACAGTCTAGCAATCGCCCTGCTTGTATCGCGGTGTGAGTTTTTTTAACATCACGTTAACAAGAGTGATGCCGTGGCTGTAGCTTGTCATTGGCTAAAGGGATACAATGAATATAGAATGGAATATCATGAATGGAGCATGGCATCGGTGTGTGAGGAGGAGGAGGAGGAGGAGGGGGGGAGGAGGAGAAGAATGAGGAGGAGGAGGAGGAGAAGAATGAGGAGGAGGAGGAGGAGGAGGAGGAGGAGGAGGAGGAGAAGAAGAATGAGGAGGAGGAAGAGCAGGAGGAGGAGGTGCCTGCAAGACGTTTAGCAAGAGAATTGTGAGAAACAGTCGTCTGTTATGTTTTTGTCCCTCGTGTGTCACCTGCAGACATGTCAACTTCGTGTGTCACCTGCAGACTTGTCAACTTCGTGTGTCACCTGCAGACTTGTCAACTTCGTGTGTCACCTGCAGACTTGTCAACTTTGTGTGCCATCTGCAGACTTGTCAACTTCGTGTGTCATGTTTGTGTCACACAGGATCAGTACTTCAAGCAGCATTCGCTCAACACAGACGTGCACGTCAAGTTGAAAGACGTGGAGCTACTGAAGAAGGAACCGTACGAGCAGCTAGTGCAGAGCTTAATTAGGTAAGCACTAATTACATTAATCAGGTAAGCAGTGATTACATTAATCAGGTAAGCACTGATTACATTAATCAGGTAAGCAGTGATTACATTAATCAGGTAAGCACTGATTACATTAATCAGGTAAGCAGTGATTACATTAATCAGGTAAGCACTGATTACATTAATCAGGTAAGCACTGATTACATTAATCAGGTAAGCACTAATTACATTAATCAGGTAAGCACTGATTACCTTAATCAGGTAAGCACTGATTACCTTAATCAGGTAAGCACTGATTACATTAATCAGGTAAGCACTGATTACATTAATCAGGTAAGCACTGATTACATTAATCAGGTAAGCACTGATTACATTAATCAGGTAAGCACTGATTACATTAATCAGGTAAGCACTGATTACATTAATCAGGTAAGCACTGATTACCTTAATCAGGTAAGCACTGATTACATTAATCAGGTAAGAACTGATTACATTAATCATGTAAGCACTGATAGCTTAATCAGGTAAGCACTGATAGCTTAATCAGGTGAGCACTGATCAGCTAGCATACAGTAAGCTCTGATCATTAGTGGGTGATGTGATGGTATATATACTGGTAGATGTCAGGTGTTGCTATAGGATGCTAGTCTGTATAATATATATATGTTATATGATACTGGTACTGGTTACTAATCTCTGTTATTCAATAGCAGATCCCAGTCCCTATAGAGGATTTATTAGCAATAACCATTATTTGCGACCATGCAGTCCACACCGGTGTTCATAACATTCCCATTAACATTTTAAACGTAATCTTCTATGCGAACAATAGTTTTATTAATTTCGAACTTTCTTTCGTCCGCGCTACACAGCGGGGCGCAGGTGCTTGACCACAGCAAGTCCCCGTGTGAGAGCGACTTCATTCCTGATACCAAAGCGGTAACATATGTGATGTATATTAAGATGGACGACCCAAAGGACGTCGCCAATTGGATGGAGGTTGCCAAGGTACGCGACAAATTTCACTGGCAAAGTCATTATTGTCGTGAGCATTATTGACAGTTTGGAATTAGGACATTATGACAATTTATTATGACATTAGGATTGGTGACCAAAGTAGGTAAAGTAGTAGGAGTGGCAGTGGTTTTTCATTACCATGTATAGTAACGTGGCAGAGAAGCGAGAAGAATAATAGGAGAAAGTATGATCACATATTCGTGGCAATAGCGTGTTCTTCATCTGCACATGTAAGTCTGTACAGACCTCATCAGTCAAGCGTGTAGCACATGAGCAGGCAAACGCATGGTCATCCTTTTGCAACTAATGTCGCACGAGCGTAACAGCGATGCATTAATTAATTAATTAATTAATTAATTAATCTCTTCTTGTCGTTGCAGTGCTTTCGCGTGTGGGACCTAGACGTTAGAGGGCAGCACAATAGCATGTGGAGACTGCACATGCGCGGCAATCCGCTATTTGTCGTCGGCGTGCCTGCCTCACCATACTCGTATGTACCGCAGTAGTCATACACCAACGCTCAACCGATATAGTGGGGTTACTGTTTGTTTGCCCGGTGCCATGGCAACGGTGTGTAGGGGGCTGTCCTGTTTGTTTATCATAAAAGTTTCGCGTTCGAAGCGCAACTTGAGTGAGTTAAATTTATTTGTCACTCAAGTGTGAATGCATGTTTGTAGCGCAGTTCCATTCTTCAATGCATCTCGTGCATCTAATTAAATACAGTTATTTGATTTAATTAATTAACAGTTAATTAATTTATTCATGTCCGTTTGGCAGGTCTTTCAAGCCAGGCGATGTCGCTCCTATTCTACTTCAACCAGCCAATCAGAAAACGGGGAGTAGTTGACCTTCAACTATTCTTGAATCGCTCGCATTTTGTATTATAATAATTCAGTCAGCTAGTCGTTGCGTAGTCACATCTAACAGTGCATATAAATATATACATATATATTTGTTTTGTTATGTTACGTTTACTGTGATGTATATTTACAGTTTTTCTTCTCCCCGTAAAACATTCTCGCGTTTTATTCCGCGGTTGTTTTGCTGCCGATCGTTGTGCCGTCTGGTGGCAGGTTGTGAAACCATGCGCATGCTTGGTTGTCCGCGTACAGATTTGTTTAAATTTCTTTCTCGAGCTTTTATTTACGAGCTCTTACAGTGCGCCATGTCTGTTACTAGATGTAACGAGCTTACTTACTTACTTAATCCTCTTCACTCTTACCGGAGCATAGGGCCTCCACTAGTTTTCTCCAGCGGACTCGGTTTTGTGCTGTCCGCTTGATCTGTTCCCACGTCATGCCGATCTCCTGATGTTCTTCTGTGACTGTTCTCTTCCACGATTTCTTAGGTCGTCCCCTTTTCCTTTTCCCCTGTGGGTTCCACTCTAAGGACTGCCGCGTGGTGTTGGTCGTCGGTTTCCGTAGGGTGTGTCCAATCCACCGCCATTTCCTTCGTCTCAACGAGCTTACGATATGAGAAACTAAATACGAGACATGATCATCATGTGAGTATCTGTACGCGCGGAGGAGGAGGAGGAGGAGGAGGGAGGGGTTTCCTTTTGTCTTCGATGAATCAATGCAGTTTGATTTAAGGCCGTGGCTACGCGTCCGGTCATACATTTCTTATGTGAACCCAACTATATTTTTTCAGTAAAAAACAATAAACAATACGTTTTTACCATAATATTACTTACCTTTAGGTATTTTATCAAAATAATGGGTGTTTGTAACTTTTGAAGCAATAGTAAAGTCCAGTAAAATCAACGATTTCAAAGGGGACGTGGCCTAATCGTGACGTAGATTTAGGAATCTGTGCTGAGCTTTGTAATGGATGACCGGACGCGTAGCCACTGCGTTGATTTAATTGCTTGAACTGTCAACTACTTTACTTCCATTAAGAGCGCGTCTCGGCGTTACAATGTCGACATGTTTGATCCCATTTATCACGTGTTACTCATCGTCATTGATCACGTGTTACTCATCGTCATTGATCACGTGTTACTCATCGTCATTGATCACGTGTTACTCATCGTCATTGATGAGATCTGCGAGCAT